ACAAAATATGGATTCTTCGCACAACATTTGGTTCGTGTGTAAAAACGGATTTTATTTTTCTCCAACTAGCACAAAAAAAGGAAAAGTCAATATTAGAGAACGAACACTACTAGAGTAGTACAGTCGTGTAGAAAGAACTTTCGTCCCTTTTATATTTAATTTGTTTCAGTGAACATGTTACAGCTGCCTATGTTTTTTTTTTCTCTATATGGTAACATCTACTGAGTATTTGTACCAAGCTATAGGATGGGCTGTATCTTATATGCTAATACTACTAATAATATATACTGATAGATCTCACTCACTCCTTAAACATTACATAATAAATCGCATCTCGTGGACCATTATAGTTGATGAATTTTCTATTTATAGAAAAAATATATAAGATTGTCTAATATTTTAGAAGAAAAATATTATAAGAAGTAAGATAACAATTTTAAAGTTTTTTTTTATAAAATATGATCCACGGCAACGCTCGTTAACAAGAGATAGTCACTGAAAATATCTAAGTATAATGTGTATATTATTAATACAAATATACAAAATATTTATTTTTTCAGTCGCAAGAATTTCAATACTTCACAACAGAGTCCGAAATGAGTTTTTTTAATATACAAAAAAAAAATAGTATTTGTGCATTTTTATGAACTTAAAATAAAAATGTACACGGAACCCTGGAATGTAGAAAATTCGTTTGAAATCAAATACTTCCTTAACGTCTATTATGAAATGCGATTCGCGACGGGACTAGATCTTTTCCACATGTTATTTGATGAGAATAACTATGATGTAATGTAATGGTATGTTTAAAAATATACATTTGCACTTTCGAATGTAATTAAACATTTACAAAGAACTGATTTATTGTGAAAATTTAATGAATCATCAATGCACATTTTGATGTATTAATTTTTATTTAAATATTAATTTCAACAAAATAACATGTAGACAGAAATGTCGCCGCGATGATATATTTATAATTAAAATAATAATGAATAATATATATCCAATCGAAGGTCATCTAAGCTGGAAGTTGTTTTTATTTTTAATTATTATAAATCAATGCAAAACGTTAACACCTTATTAATATTACTATCAGGATATCACAGATGCAATTATAAAAGATATTGATGAACAATTAAATATTTTTTTATTAACATTTTCAAGTCAAAATTTGCATCCATTAATACTCTGATCCTAGTGCACTTCAATTTGTAATTTACTCAATCGCTTTATAGGGAACATAGATAATGGCTACACAATTATTTTACGTATTCATATTGCAATAAGGCTCTATGAAAATCACATTTACTTTAAAGTCAAGAGGATATAGAATGTAATAATAATAATAAATGGTTAAAGCAGTAAGTAAATTACTAAACAAAGTCGTGCGAAATTTTCTACTATTTCAACATAAACGCTGCCCCCGCGCAGTCCCGCCGATGACGCAGCCTTCACGGGTTCTGATTCAACCTGCGTAAAACGTAACGGGTGAGCGAGACGACCAATCGAGCCGAATCGCCGCCCTCTTCTGTTTCCGGCTCACAGTTTCGTTAAACTTGACGTCACTTATTAGATTACAAAGCGGGAAAATATATTCGAGACGGGAACGGTAAAGTTCCAAATTGAAAAAAAAGTAAAATTTGCTTTTGACACGGAATTTCGCGACGTAACACAAACAGATGCACAATACTAGTCGGTGAAACTCCCTCATTTGATATTTGAAACTAAAAAACAAGGTCCCTAACGTTTGAACAATCACGCAAAAAGGGTTGTGGATAGACAATGCGAATTCGGTAATGATAAAAAAGAGGTCGCGACCGTCGACATTCGTTAGTAGAAGCGTACGGTTAGAAAAAAAAAATTAGTCGTAACACGGGGGATGCACGAGAGGTTAATTTGAAAAAAAAAATGTTATATCCGTACAGTTCACAGTCGACGAGGTCATACAAAACCGAATACTTACATTAAATATCTCCGTTTCGCGTAACTTAAATTTTCAAAAGCACTACGGACAACACTCAAAGCATTTTGGTATTGCACTTGTATTGCCTTAGCTCATATTATCAAGTAGCGAAATCAAAATTTAAAAAAATATATATATATCGAAAAACAAACATAGCGTACAATTATCATTCGAAGAAATGTAAGGGGTATACAACATGCTTCGACTACTTTCTACTACAGATTCGTCGGAAGGGTCCGTTGGGTTCGAAAAACGCAAGCAGTATCATTCATAGAGATACAATTACTTTCTTATTTATGAAAAAAAGAGTAATGGAGCTGAAATCTATGAATCGACACTAGGACGCTTGAGGAAAGAACACGCGATTTCTTTATAGGTAAGTTTATAAAAAGAAAAACAACGAACAATAATAATGTGCGTACGCAAAATTTCTAAGTACTGGTAGATAGGGAGGTTTTAGCATCGTGCATCCCCTGTATTGGCGCGTGGTTTAAAATAAAATAAAATCAAAAATAATATATAATAAAAAAAATATATAATTACTACGGAGCTCGGAAGTCGTTCGAGGGAGACAATTTCAGCATCGAAAAATTCGAAATGAAATAAACACACAAAAATGATTTACAAGACGAAACATTATGGGTTAATAATGTCAGTGACAAATTAAAACAACAGTGTGTAAATACGGATGGTGTATTATTTACATAATTGAGAAAAAAATATACCAAGAGAGGAATCTTTGTGAACAGAAAACGAGCCCTTTTGATAATGTTTCATTTCATTTGTTAATTATACAAGCGACTAAGTTACAAAAATAACTAATAAACTGTCATACTAATCACGCAACGATTTAATACCCCAAATAAAATAAATTAATATTAAACGTTTAAAAAGATAAAAAAAAGTAGAAAAGGAAAAATGCTCTACAAAAACTTAAAAAACGCTTTTTATGCCGATTGTACAAATAAAAATATCCGTGGGGGGGGAGAAACATTACCATTAGAACGCTAAACGAAAGAATTAAAAAGATTATAAGTACATGCAATTTAAAACACTGTCAATCGGTGCTCAAGACTGTTCAATACTGAACTGAATAACAATAAACTTTAAGTCCTTTTTTTCCACAACCCTTTTTGTTCATAAGTAACACTCAAATCAGACCTACATGTATCGGCGTCAGTATTATGAAGATTAAAGTTACAACTGTATGGCTTAGAAATATGTGATTGACAGACAGAGATGCATGACAAGCTGTGCAGTGCTAACATTGATATCATACATGGCGGTGAATGATTTTTTTTTTCTAGCATTTAATTAATCAATGCACGAGGACTTTTCTACGCTACTGTACTCTGTGAATTATTGATATGTTGATTTTAATTTTCAAACCAAAATCCTGCCAGATTTTTAAGTGTAATATATAAACAATATATTTATTTATATTATAATTTCAACCTTCATACTTTACAATTGCAAACCTTTCAGTTATAGCTTTTTGGTTTGTGAAACAAGCCATCTAACAAAACCAACTACAGAGGTTTGAAATAGCGTAAAAAACTCCGTTTGACCCATTAAATTTCTACTTTTAAAGCTGAAGCTCAGCAGTTTTGTTACATATATATGTAAATAAAGAAATATTAACATCATTATGTAATATGTTACAGATTAAGATTAAATGAATGTGTTGTTAGTAGTATTATTTGTGATACGACACATATGGAACGACATAGATAACGGTTAATTCATATGCCATGTTAGTGTTTTTATATTAATTTTTTACAATGTATTTGATGTGTAAAAGCAGAGAAATGTTTAAAACACCCTTGACATTTTCTGGACATAACGAGTTTAAAAATTTTAGATCTTATTATTTTTTTTAAATTACAAACGTTGATGTTCCACCGAATGTTTCTAAATAACAAATGGTGAACTCAAATATTTTTCAAGAAAAATACAGCCTGAGCTGTTGACTGAAGTAGGATACAGTCAATAGCACGTCAGGTTTATTACAAAAGTTCGAAATTGTACATTCGATTTGAACCATTTAGCTCTTTGTCATTAAGTTCAATATTGATCGCAGAAATTCAGTCATTGTGTTCAACCATTATTAGTCAGGAAACTCACAATTAGCTTATATTCAATTGATATATGTACAGGTCAAGAGTGTTTCCTATATTAATTATGAGATAATGAAATTATGAATATTTGGCCAGTGTGATATATTGTGTTGGTATATTATATTAGTTCATTAACGATTTTAACCCAGATAATCAATATAAATTAAAGTACAATTGACAGCAAATGTTATAACAAAGTTAATAATTTTCTTCAACTGATTTTCAAATTGGTAAATTTGAATTTGATTTCGATAAGAAACACGATAAAAGTGTTTTTTATTCGAGTTATATAAATCTATTATATTGAATTATGAATACTTTGACATTTCTTTTTCTACGATGTTTTAAAATTTATGTTGAATTTATCACAAACGTATAAAGCATAGTTTAAGTATTCGGGGAGTGGTCAATAGGGTTGCCTTTTTTTTTGTTTTGTTAATCTTAAAAACATTTTTGTAATTAGTGTTTCATAAAAAAAAAACAAAGTTATTATATCTTATCAGAAAGTCAATAGTATGGATTACTTTCTTAACAGTGCAAAATTTTTATATATACAGGTAAAGCACCTTATAACATATTTGTCGAAAAATGAAGTTCCGATTTCATATTTAAGTTCAATCATGTTCTAAAATTCAAGTCTGGGCTAAAGGCGATTGGCACGTATACCCCGTACTGATCAATGAACAGGGCTTGGAAAACCGGTTTTTTTTTAACCGGTTCAATCTAAGTTATATTCAACTCTACAAAATCGAAATCAACCGATTTATATTTTAATCCTAAAAACGCTCCGAATTAAGTTCCTATTAATTTATAAAATTATAAGCCGGTTTCTAGCCCCGTCGGTGAGTAGTGTAAATGTCAATGAGTGAGTGAGTGCATAGAGTGCAGTGAGTGCAGTAAGAGCGTGGAGAACTCACCGTTTGGAAAATCTGGAGGAGAGCTTGGAGAAGAAGGAGGGCCGCGCCTGGTGAGGCGACCCGCCGTCACCGTACGCGCCGCCCGCACTCGCGCCCCGCGACCGCGTCTGACCTGATCATAACAATCAATCATCATCAGGTCTTCCTTATGGATGTTTAAAGAGCATGGGCCATGACCCTCCATGCTGGATCATTAACGACTGCAAATGCAATCGGGACTAACAGCTAAACGTGCCGTCCAAAGCAAGGAGTAGCTCGAGATAATATTTTTTTGGTCACGTCTCTTGCGAAAGTTGCTTAACAACAACGATCACGAGTCACGGCTTTTATCCACAACGCCACTGAGCTACTCAATATTACCTGTAAATTCAAGTCAAAATTCGTCAATTCAAATACGTTTCTCGCTTCGAATTTATCAATTCAAATAAGTTTCCCGCTTCGAATTCATCAATTCAAATAAGTTTTTCGCTTCGAATTCATCAATTCAACATTCAATATTACCAGTAAATTTCAGATTGAATATCATTTGTTCAGTCTAGGCTGTAAGCACTTGTGAATGTCGAAAGCTATGCCATCGGTTCGCAAATCTGCGTCAGGAGACCATGTACTGAGAAGAACGTATACGGCTAGTTTGTCTGCTCTTGATTTGTTTTTTAAAAATGTTATAAATGATTCTGTTCCATATATTATTTATTCACAAAACTGTTTGCTAGACAACACACAGAAACAGTGCGGCCTGTATATGTAACAAAAAGAGACAGCTCAAATGTTCGTTTTTCATTAATATAAACTCTTTTATGAGAAGAAAAAGAATAAACAGTGAATTATGCAGTCATTTTGTAAAAAAATCCATCTAGAAAATTATCGAAATTCACGTTTTGACTGTGATAGAATTCCTCTTTAAAAAAAATAATTTCTTACATTTTTAGTTACAGCTAATTTGAATATTAATGCTTTGTACAAACCCTGTTTATAATTAGTGATTTATGCTGGCAGCTGGCAGCAAGGTACATACCTGAGTGGAAGGTGGATCGGGAAGGCACGTTCCTCGGGAACACAAGCGGGTTATTGTTGGGGAACTCCCGGCGCGCGCCCCCGCTCGCTGCGTTACTGCCCGTCGTTAATGCAGAGTTCAAACTACCCAACAAAAAATATATATATACATCAATTTAATGAGACTTATAACTGCCACTTTCTGTCACCAGATTAGTACACTACCACCTGAGTAAACCATTTTTATAATCATCAAACGTCATTCACAAAGTAGTGAGCACAGAGTAAAGTAATACTACTCTCTACGTAGATTTTTTAAAATTGATGATTAGAAATAGCGTAATTTTATCCAATAATACATCATTGCTGCATTTTCGGGTATAAGAAGAAAGGGAAACGTTGCTAATAATGTCATGTACGCCAAGATTTGCGTAATATTTCCTATTCAAACATGTTATATAACAACTGTAATTGTTACTTAACAAGAGCGTGTACCCTGTCGTGTCGTGACATAAAAGCAAAACACCTTATGAACCAAATCCGACTAATTGCCGGAATTTTATATTAGGTATAACGCCACTTTTGATACGTATATATGTCTGTTGTTTCATGGCGGTGTAAAAACAAGAAGCGCTGAAAATAAATTCAGATAACCTATACTATACTTACTGAAGGCCAATATAGTAAAATATTGAACGCTAAGGCTGCGTTCACACTAAACTCACTGTCAGTAGCCGACTGTGAGCGAGCGAATGCAGGTGATTGTATTTTCTTATTAGTATGAACTTGGAAATACGAAAAGCGCAATGACAATGCAACAAAAGTCGGAATAACGTTTAGTGCGAACACACACTTAAATGTATTGCTCATGGGCGTCTGGTGGATAGCAGCTGGTGGATGCCATGTGAACAAAGCTTATACACCACATGAACAAAGCGCTGATAGCGTGTTGACAGTGAAACGTCTCATTGCTAAGATAGCACATAATGAAATTTACCTTTGACGTCAAATATCGAGGGAATATTATACTATAGCTTCAGTTTATTCAGAAATCATTTTGCTTTAGTCCCGTTTAATTCGTGTTTGGAATAATTTTCTTACATACAGATAAAGATCAGCCATAATATGAAAATTTGTGCCTTCGTTATGCATAATAAATTTACATTTAATAAATTAAGCAGATTTAAAGTATCTCATTCCTTTGAACGACAGAGGCCACAACTGCCGAGACCAGAGACAATACCGAAAAAAAATTAATAAACAAGGCCAGGAAACGCATTAGAAACCTCCATAGATCTTCATCACCTCGAGAACAACTTCATAAGTATGTAGACCGTCATTTATATTAAATTATAATTATTATGGTGTAGACAATAAACGAAAATAAATACAGATTTTCTTAATATACTAAGTACCAATAATCACACATACTCGTTGTCACGTGACTGCAAACAGCGCGTGACGTCACGACCCTCTTTACACATATCAGAACTTAGAGAATTGAACTTATGCATAGATAGAAGGATATTAATATCGTATATAGTTCTAGGCCGTATATAGTGTACTTACAGTAAGATATATAAATAATACTCTATGACTACATACATACATTTTCAAAGTCTACATCAAAATATAAAACTTTTATAATTGCACACAAATAAAAAAAATTATAACAGACCCCTTCTAACTATAATTTACATTAAAAATCATAAACTACAGTGTTCAATATATTTCAAGTGTAAAACTAGCCTAATACTACTTAAAACTACAAAGCGGTAAAACGGACATGAAGGAGGTATTATGTAACAAAATGAAAAAAAAAATTAAAACTCAGTGTTTGTTAAAGAAAAACAGCATTTATTTATATTACAACAGAGCGTAATGTATCCAAGCGTGGCTGGCTGCCGTTACGAAGCTCCGTGGCCGAGTAGAGACGTGCCGTGAATCAAAAACCAAAATCCTAGAAAAACCAAAAAGGGATAGACTACTTGAAGGGAGATATAATAAGGATGATAAGCGAAAACCAACCTCTGTACCCACTGACCAAGGCTTTTACAACCATTAATGCTAGAGAAAATGCAAGAAGTTGAGATTCTTTGGAGATACTTTTGCTACGTAAATATTATTAGCCTGTAGATGTTTTGTTATAATGATCTATGTTCTCATATGAGTAAGAACCATTTTTATATGTCGGTCGATTGATTATAAAAATTTAGGACCTATTAAACTTGAATTCAACTTAAATTTAATTGAAATTTTCTTTAGTTTATTATAACAAATTCTAATTTGAACAAATTAGACGTAGATATAGGAATCGATGTCAATAAAATAGTTTTTTTTTAATAATATTGGTCAGTCGGTATAGAAATTTGATGCGTGAAAGCCGTGCCACGTTCAAGTATCAGTTGTATTCGGTCGACATATGAACCGATCTACGAGTGCAAGCAAAAAAATATGAGAAAAACGACAACATACACAATTATCATGTTTTGAGATCAATTCGATATTAAAATGTCATAGGTATAAAAATAAAATTCGATAAAATTTTCTTAGTATCGTGCTATGACGTCACACAGAAACTAACCCTGAAACCCTAACCCAGAAACTAAAACTGCCAATAATTAAGTTATTGGCTTTACTTGATATTTTCGAATGTGTTTTTAAATGTACATAATTTTAATACTGCAATATGTAATTTCTTCCAATAATTGCAAAAATTACGAGAATTGACGAACTCAAAACATAATAATGTCCTGAGCGGAGGAACGTAAAACATTTAAAGCGATATGAATTTTCAGCGAATTTTAATGGCTAATGGAAACGAAGGTGAAGGATACAGTATATCTAGGATCGGGCTAGGAATCAAGTTCTACTAGGGTGTATTTTTTTTATTATGTGAATATATGTCGCAACTACTATAGTAGTAGATGATTTCATTCAGCTCACAGATGCTGTTTTTCTTTTGGGGATGATTACGTCCCGCTCACAGACTTCTGGACTTCAAAGTCCAGAGGAAATAAATAGCAACAAAGGCCTATTGTAACCTCACGTTTCGGGATTAGAGCGGACTGACTGGAAGACTTAGAGCTGGTTTAGCTCGGACAAATTTAGATAGCAAGTAACACGTGCAGTTATAATGTATGATTAATTATTGTTTAATAAGAAAACAACAGGTTCTGTAGCCGGTTATATTTTTCACTCTTGCTCAAATAACTCGCATACTATTTCTGTCGAAACAGTTCCGCTGTCTGCAAGATCACACAATAAATTAATAGACATTTCCAAGTGATTTCTAGATAGAAAAATTGCAATCAGTGGAGACAATCTTCAATTGACGTCTGCAAATATAAGGGAATAAATTTAACAATGGTCACCCCGTATAAAGATAGTGGGAGCTGAGCAAGGTCTACCAGAAATTTTGTGGATAGCTCATAGAAGGCGGACGGAACATTGGCCAGGTGGAGGGGGTGTGTGAATCCTTCCTTCCAATAGAGGGTACTACGTGGCGTGTTTTATCAATACCCAAACACAGAGAAAAGCTGATTTACTACCGCGAAGGTAATCCCATAAGTAAGAAACCATAGTTCTCGTGGTTGGGGAACCGCTGCGTAATGACTAGTTAAGTAGATGCCAATGGCTATTGTACTTATTTACGTGAAAACCAGCCATTACTTTGAGGGGAGGAGAGGTAGTAGGGGGAGGGGAGGGGTGGAGTGGTTTACGCGTAATAAAGTAGATGCCATTTCCCATTGGCCATTGTCCTCAATTACGTGTAAACCAGCCATTAGTTTGAGGGGAGGGGAGGGGGAGGGGCGGAGCGGTGGGAGACAGTCGTGTACCTAGGGCGGGGCTGGGCGAGGTCCCGGGCGGAGGCGTGGGGCGCGTCGGGGCAGGCGAGGGGCGCGGCGCCCGCGCTGGAGATGGACGCGCTCTTCACGTGGGTCTTGGCCGCGCCCGCGCCGCCGCCGCCGCCGCCCGCGCCGCCGGTGGACGGCGCGGAAGCGGCGGCGCCGTTCGACGTGCCGTTCGTGGACGCGTTGCCGTTCTTCGTTTCTGTGCCGGCGCCGCTGCGTTCACGCATGCTGTTAGTTTTTTCTAATACACGTACACATACGTTATATATGAATACATAAATAATACGATACTTTTATCACTCGTTGCCGATAGTCGATAGAGATGCATGTATATTTTAATTTAAAATGAGACCGATCGATGATTTGATTTATACAAACTATCAGGTGATGTTTATTTAAACGCCGGTAAGAGGTATCTGTTAGTTATCTTTATATTCTCTCGTGCATGAGAAAAAGAAAAAAAAAATTATATCGAAAATCATTATACAATTCTTATAAAATTTAATAAATAACAATACACGACCTTCAGTTAATTTGAAATTACCGTAAAAAAATATATAACATAAGAAATAAAAAATAATATTATTTATGTAAGTTTAAATTGTATTTCGTTATTAATACATTGTAAGCACATATAACAATATCTACATAATAACTATTATATTTTATACATAGAAAAAAAAAACAACACTAAATAAATAAATAAAATATACCGTTCCCCGATTGCACATACACCATGTTAATATAATTTGTTTTAGCAACATGCTAATCGAACTAAACTGTATTTTAATACTTACCATATATTTATAAACGGCTCACTGATTTTAAAAATTAACAGCGAAAATAAAAAAAAATAAAAACTTGTAAAAAGTTCGTATACTAATTTGTTGATAGTTTACCGTTGCGCAGCGCTGTGTAATACATTGTCATACCAATAGTTTCTCATGGTAATAGTCACAGATAAATGGCGAAATTTAAATTTTAGTAAAATGATTGATTCACAAACATTGATGCAAAATTATACGAAAAAAAACCGTTTGACGATAAAGAATATTTTGGATTGATTTCGTTTTTCGGTGTGAGGAAAACTTTTAGGCAATTTCTTTCATGTCATACATGAACTGATCATAAAATCTATTAATGCTCAAAATATCATGCTCATATTAAATAGGATCAATACATATTTTTTTTAATTTCAACATTTTTGCTGATTGTACATTTTTCTCCAAAATAAGTGAATGCAGTTCAAAATATGCAGTCTTGTTTGACTTGATATACAGGTTGTATTTTTGCTTAATATTATTAAATTTTATTTACGTTAACATTTATTTTTGTTTCGTTTATTTAACTTTTACAACTTTGCCAATTATATTTTACAACAAATGATATGAGTAAATTTTTAGTTCAAACACCATTACCTTAGAAATATACATGTGCGTTTTGTGTAAGTAACTTAGATACCTACCTAAAATTTCACAACAACTCATATGATTGTAAACGGGTTAAAAATTTCGAAGGAAATGTTTCAAAAACTATATCGCACGTTGAGAATGACAATGTCACTAACCAAAAACGACGTAATTTTTACTTTTGGCAACATTTTTCTTTGTCAAGTATAAACTTTAAAATGCAAAGATCCCTGTGAACGTAGCTTGCATAGAAACTGCTAGGTGGCGTAGTGACGATACGTTGTTTAGAGGAGCTTATTACAATTTCTTGAACTTTAAACGCTCATTACTCAAAATCGCATTTTTTGCATTGTGTCACTATCGTTCTCAACGTGCGATATGTGTGTGTGTTATGTATATACATAAGATATGTACCCGGTCTGTTCGTGCGGCGGGTCGGGTTTGGTCGCGTGGTGGGGCGCCGCGCGGCCGCCGGTGAGCGTGCGCGACCGCGCCTCCAGTTTCGGCTGAGCGCTCGTGGGCCGCGTAGAACTAGCCACCTGACACAATGCAATACCACCCATCAAACATAATATCATTTACCATAAAAAAGAAAGACAAATTCAAGAACAGGTCTTTGTAATAATAATTATGCAAGAACAGGTCTTTGTAATAATAAATGTGCAATAGTAGCTTATGCAACTGTCTTATAAGAAGGGGTATTAAAACACGCTTGATTCGAGTGTTTTAATACCTAAGTTATATGCAGTTTCATACACTAATTTATCTTCACTCATAGGAAAAATTTAAATTAAACAAAGTAGTAATTAGGTAGGTTACAAGGAAGTAATTTATGCGTGCGCCATATTTTCAGTTTTTTTTTCATATTCAGCCTAAAACCAATAAAAAACTATAGCTGTACTATAATGAGTTTCATTTTTAATTTTATGCCTTTATAAAGTGCGTATGTATAGAATCGTCTTTGAATTCGAATTCGAATTACAAATTCGAATTTTTCGATTTGTGTGTAGATAAAGTCTTTTTCGAAAAAAAATATTCGATATTGACAATTGAATTTCATTTCTAAGCCAGATTAAAAATAAACATTATTTTTAGACTTCCGTAGCAAAAGGGTAAAACGGCAATCATTATTACTAAGCCTTCGCTCTCTGTCTGTCACCAGGCTGTATCTCATGAATCGTGAAAGTTAAGGAATTTGAGTTTTTCACGGATTGCGTATTTCTGTTGCCGCTTCAAAAACAAATATTAGAAACAAGAATAAAATACATATTTAAGAGGCTCCACATCCACAAATATGTTGTTTTTGTTTGCTCGATATAGTTACTTTAAAAATAAACAATCGAATTGAAATTAGACAAATATTTAAGGAAGGCACAATACAACAAACGTGATTTTTTTTTTACTCACATTTGGCCGGATTTTTTAATTATTTATATTATATATACGAAATCAGTTTCTATGTACTTGAACCTTTTAAACTGTTTTAAATTTATTTATGCTGGCTGTCGAACACATAGGTACAATTGAAATGTATGTATGACCATCTGCATTAATTAATAATGAAAAACAAACCTGCATTTGTGCGATCCGTGCTGTGTTTTCCTTAATGGAAGCCGAGTCAATTGTGTTCTGCAAATAAAAATAACATACTTCCTGAATACAACGAATGTAGCACTATATTTTTTGTAACATTTTTTGTGACAGAAAAATTGCTAATCCAAAAAGGATGATCATTAATTATTGATCATTAATTCTTAAACTATATTTTTAGATAATTTTGTTATTTTTTTAATGTCTAATTCACCGTACCTGTCTCTTAAAATTCGTGGTCGTTGTGGTGGATGTGGCTGTAGTATTGTTCGAGGCACTCGTCGTTGTACCCACTGAAATATAGTAGATAGGTATTCTATCATATCGAGAAAATTAAAATAGGCATTTTATCAAGTCCTAGGTTTCATATATTTAATATAGAACTGATTAGGAAAATGCGCGAAATTGATTACCTACTTGCACGTGGCGACACGCGGCGCGGGCTACATATAATACCGGCTGAAATTAGCTTATCTTAGCTTGTACAGTCAGCATTACGTCACAAAATATATAATAAACCTTAATACATTGACGGTATTTTTCAAATTTTCGCAGCCAATTATGAACCTAACAATTATTAATTTACGATATAAAATCGATTATAGTTTGACATATTAGGGTAAATGTACCATTGAATGTTACATAATTAATTAATCTGAAAAGGATTTATATAAAATTTCAATCAGAGGCATTTTATGGTTTATATATAAATTATAATATTTTATTCCTATTTGAAAAGCTACAAATTAATGAATGATTTCTAAAGCAGATAAAATTACTAAAAGCCCCAAATTGTTACTTCCTAATAAAGCGTAGGTACCGCAGATGGCATAAGAAATTATTTGACCTCAACCCAATTGTATGGCTTTGATACACGATGAAAGAATAATACGATCAATGCTAAGCATGAATGGATATTAGGATTTCTCTTTAAACAAAAAATAGCTTATAGAAATGTGTTCAATTTTTCATATAAAAATAACAAACATTTTTTTTAAGTTTTTTATTCTATAAAATTAGTATAATTTTTTTCATTATGAATCTTATAGAAATAAATAAATATATTCATCAAGTAGTGAATATCAATTTAGAGAATCATTTCTTTGGTTATAGAGAATTTATTAGATCTTTCGAGACTAGCATATATATAAACTTCAATTTGATCGACATCGGCTCGAAACAAATGAGTTTAGAGTTCAATACAACCGGAGCTACCGCAGAAGCTGCGTATCATTCGTTCAACAAGCCACGCTATTATACACTCACGCAGGAGTTTGAATCGTAATGAACGTCGAGGGCATTCGATTCAAACCGATGTCAATCGAGTTACAGGAAGATAAAACTCAATGTGGCACACCGATGGACCTGCACAGAAAGCTAAATTTGAAATTGCGCAAATATAGGCCAACTAAATATATAATTAATGACTCAAGTATGACGTCTACGGACGCGCCTATATAAAGTCGTATTTGACCCCTTGAAAACAAAACTCATTACAAATTTTACCCGGACGTTCGGTCATAGTACACATCGGCAAGTTAACTCTGTGCTTACAACGAAGATTCACCGGGCGCCACATCTATACCAATATTACAAAGACAAAAAATTCGATCGTCTGTTTATTTGCATTTTTCCTTCACTATGTTAAGTAACGTCATCCGCGGCTGATAACTTAAGCGATTTACGTAGTAGTAGAGTACTGATAAGTGATTAAAGCTCTTGTTTAAAGAAGGGGTGGTTAGTGTGATGTTACCTTGCGCGCGCAACACCTCCGCCCCGGAGGAGGCGCGCCGGGAGGCGGCGGGGCGCGCGGTGGCGGAGATGGAGCGCTGCACGCGGTGCGACGGCGAGCCCCCGCCCCCGCCCCCGCCTACACACCCCGCACACACACGTCACCACACCGCGCCCCACCCCGCCCCGCCCCGCTACACGCGCATGGGGTAACGACACGAGACACGGACATGTCTATTCGTATTTGCGCGTCAGCGAATCTCGTAACGTAACTAGAGTCGTATATCCTTAAAATCTACTTTCGATATATCAAGAACTTCATCATATTCTGTCACATTCTCCTACATTTAGAAATAAGTAAAAAAATAGAGCGAGCCAAACCTATTGTAGGTATTTCTGCAGAAACGAAATTCTGTCTATTTTTGAAACGCTAATATGAGTCCAAAGTAACCCATTTTTCGATAAACTATGATGCAACGGAGGTAGGATCTCACACTGCCTCTGACTCACATATTAGGTTGGGGAAAACTCTTCGCATTTAGCATGCATAAACTTGTAATAACATCTTTCTGGCTCTACCATTTGTCTCTGGCTGGTTTCGAAACCATTAAAAAGTTTTAAAAAGTGTTAAAGAAAATCCCGAATTCAAATTAGGAAAATGTGTGATCTTCATTTGATTTTCTTACTGTCAAACTCAGTGAATCTAATGAAGAATTTCGAGATATTTTAAAATTTTATTACAAAAAAAGCTAAAAATGCAACACAACACGAGCCGCGATAAAAAATAGTGACGTTTATGGACCTAGTGCAGTTTCTGTGAGTAGCACAAATTGGTTTAAGTTCAGCGTTTTCGGTTCAAATTTTGACGTCAAAGATGCACGTCACTCCGGCTACCCTGTTATGGATAAAATGGATGCTATTTTTGAAAAAGTGGAGCAAGATCGGGATTTCAGTAGTTACGACTTAGCTGAAGAACTGGGGATTGACTACAGAATAGTTTTGGCACACAAGAAACCTAATGAACCGTGTACTCATTTGTGATTCTTTATTACGGTGTAATGAAACCGAATCATTTTTGAAGCTCATAACTGGTGATGAAAAGTGGATCACGATAAGAACGTGCGAAAAAGGTCGTGGTCAAAGGTCGGCCAGGCTTCAGACTGTGGCGAAACCCGGGGTAAATCGCAACAAGGTGATGCTGTATGTATGATGGGATTGGAAGGGCATTATTCATTATGAGCTGTATCCGCCAGGCAAGACCATCGATTCTGAACTCTACTGTAAATAAATGATGAGATTAAAGCAAGAAGTTGAATGAAAGCGGCCAGAATAAGTCAATAGAAGGTGTGTGGTTCAACATCTTCCGCCACTTGGAAAAAAATCCAAGATTTAAGCTAGGAGGTGTTAATGCATCCGTCGTCCAGACCTTCAGATTTCCATCTGTTTCGATCTCTTTAGAATCCCTTAGGCAGTGTAACATCACGCGAGGACTGCCAAAACCACTTGTCGCGGTTTTTTTTTTCAGAAATCCCAAAATTGCTATAGCAATGAGATCATGTTCCTACTTACAAAATAAATTTTGTTAAAAAATGTTTTAAACTTTTAATATGAAATGCGAAGAAACTATTTCCCCAACCTATTATAATCTTCACAGGTATGATTTGAACAAAATTACAAGAACTTCGATCACAGATTCGAAATGGACAGAATTTTTGGTCGTGTTCAAATAGAGCGGACCCTCAGACGATGAAACGGTCCACGATATATTGAATATCGAGTCTACGAGTCGGCATGCACTCTAAAGAAAGCCTCGCAGACTTAAGAACGATATTTACGTTTAAGGACTTTCTTATAAGGAGGGAATCTAGTGTAGAAATTCGAAAACTATTTTTTTATATTCTCTAAGCTTAAACTTTCAAGAATATGTCCTTAAATGGATTTGTTAAAATTTTAAATATTTCTCGTATCGCATAACTAGCCTATGTTTTATTTCGGACACACGATCTTCCGAGGTAGCTCCGATTTTAATTGAACATTAAGAGCACTGAATTCATATTCGATGATTATGTGGTAAAGAAAAGATATAAATAACTTTATTGATAAAACCCACTCTTGATTTGACGGAACAAAGTTTATATCTGTACTATTGAATAGTCATATTCATTAATAATATCTTAAAACTCAAAAATTACACGAAATACTCGTGTTATTTAAAATTAAAGAAACATCGCCATATGTATTACCAAAACAAAATGGTCGATGAAAACTGTTTACGTAACATCATACAGGTACGTAAAACCAAATTTATGTTTTATTAACCCACACTGAATATGATATATAGTAGTCATTTTAACCGATACAAAATAATTGTCTACTATGTTTAAGAGTAACGAATGTAAGTATATATAAATTAAAACGCTGCAGCATCAACAGAGATCAAAAGAAACTAATAGTAGAAGTCCACGTTACTAATATCACCAATATTCTATATATATAACAACAATGCGTCCGTCCATCGCGTTATGAAAACCTCTAGAAAGCGCACCTGATAAATACCAAAATAGATCCGATGAATATTGTTACGTGACGGCGCGATTAATATGAATGAAGCGGAGATATACGCAAAGCTCCCCGTATGATGTACTGTTACCCCATGACGAGAGTACGGCACGAGGGAGGGTGGGCGAAAGCGGACAAATATACGTATACAATATAAAGCTGTAATGTCTCCGTTTATTCACAAGTGTAACGATATGTTGGATAACGAGACACTCCAAATAAGTTCATCTAACAAAAAAATGACGCAATTACAAATGTTTCACGAAACGCTTTTGATTTTTTAAATACCTGTTTAATATTTATTTATTTATTCAAACTTCTTTGCACAAATAAGGCGTACAAATAAACACAAGGAACATCTACGAATATATGATATTAGTTTAAGTACTATTATGTAAGTACCCAATAAACACCAAAATATATATTTCAGTGTATTTATCTAAAGTTTCTTATATAGATTTCAGCTGCATCAGCAGTATTTATGGTATTAAGAGCCCATTTGTAATTTGCGTCGTTGTTTTGCTGGATGAGTGATATGTATATTTTTTTTTATACACAAGTGATCTTATTACAATGAACATAGGGGTGAAATTTACTAATTCGGATAGACATATCTGATAGAAAATTCCACAGAAATTCTATATTTCAAAATCTTCCAATCATATTTTTGTGAATAACGGACGAAAGGTTATGTGGATAAACACTATTTTAAATTTTGTTTTATAGTATAATACAAAAAAAAAAATACTTTTCAATACCAATTTTAATTGTCTCCCATTTATAATATAAAATAAATAGGAGACAATTAATATTTAAAATTGTGTCTTATCCATACAATTATTCTGTACAATACCAATAACTTATATCCTATTAATCGCACAGTACGCGCACAAGTACAGCGTATAATGAAGTTTATGCAATTCACGAGTACTAAACCTCTATATTATAAAGACAAAGACTAATTTTGTTTAGTACTCGTATATTGCAATATCTGTACCCAGTTAGACGCTATTAAGCTCTAGTATGATGTAATAAGATGGCGTAGTCGATTTCAGGAGTACAATACCAATGTACATTTACTATCATCTATATCTTTGTAACATTTCAATTACTTTTCAGTTACTATATGTACAAATTTGTCAGTAAATGTGTTTATTTATTTTTCTAATTAATATGTAGTGTATGCAAGTGTAGTTTTATAGATCAGTATAGTTATAATGTGTATCTATAATGTGGTCAACATCTTCACTACCGAGGGCATGTGCCTGTTCTCTATTCTTCTTGTCAGCTTATATTTCATCAGTCACTTTCGTATAATTCAGTTCATCCAGTTCATTAATCTTTTCTATTTATACCTTTTGCTCTTTCAATCTATCATTAGTTTTTTAAATCATTTCATACCTTTTCGTATGTCCTAGTATAGTAACATGCTATAGTGTAGCGTATTATATGTACGAAGTGTAATATAGATAACGTGACATAATTTAAGAGCATGTAGTTAATCGTAGTATAGTTTAAGGCTTGTTATGGTATAGTTTTAGTTTAATTGTAATGAAGGTGGAGCGTAGTGTTGTTTAGATGCATAATCAGTTTTTTGATTAGATGGACTAAACTGACAGCTGAATTCAGTTTGTTTTTCTTTTAATGTTGCAAATAAAATTATACATTAATCCGTTATATGATATGACTCATTGGGTTTTTTATTCATCAGTCATCTGAAAGTTAATTTTAATGTCTTCATTGTTTTATTTATCTTTTTAATCAAAATACTTATAGTTCCGCCGAAGTTAGAATTTTCCTGAAAAATATTTAAAAGTATCCCAAACAAACAAACTTCATTTTCAATTGATGAAATGTGAACGAATTGTAATCCATAGGTCATCATATCTCTCAGACCACAACACTATTTTTTATTGCGATAAATTTTCTACCCGGCAATCCACTAACTGTCATTTTAATACATCTAATTAAAAATCAGAGTATAATGAAGGCGTAATGTAATGTAATGTAGCTGTAATTTAATATAGTGTAGATTCAATGTAGTGTAGTGTAGATGTAATGTAATATAATGTAGATGCAATTTAGTGTAGTGTAGATGCAATGTAGTGTAGATCTAATGTAACATAATGTAGTGTAGATGTAATGTAATATAGTGTAGATGTAATGTAATATAGTACATACCGTGCTGCGGCTGCGCGGCCTGCGCGGCGCCGGGCGGCGGCGCGGCGGCGGTGCGCAGCGACAGGGACGAGCCCGACCGGCTACCGTCCGACTCCGGCTGCACGAGTACAACATTACGTACAGATCACGTCACATGTTTATTACGTACGACTGACTCCATCAGACGATCATATAACAAATTCATCTTTAAACGGATACTCAACACTTTTCTGTTGGAACGTTTATGAAGATCATCATCATATGAGTATTATGTTTATATGTAGGTGTAATATTTATTTATGCTTATATGTATAATTATATAAATCAATTTGTAGTATAGTAACAGTAATATATTTCTTCTTTTTCTGTTTCCCAAAGGTTGATTGGTAGAGAATGCTATTGGCATTTAGTCCACCTCTTGTACCAATTCAATGGTCAGTATAATTTGATAAATGAATAAATTAATTAACATGACACCTATTCTATTTGGCGGAAAACGACACTTTACATTTTTTTAAAGGCTTATACGACTCCAAAGAAATGCATTTTCGATATTTTATGATGTATCGAAATTAAGTTTGACTCTGCCTTTGATGCACAGATAATTTTCACGGATATAATATTAACAAAATTTTAAAAACGATTCGAAATTTTCCGAATTACCATTTGAAGTTAAAAAGAATAGGCCCTCAAAAGTCATGTTGATTTGTACGACTTTTATTTTAACTCTATAAATTACTATCAATCTATGAGGAGTTCGATGGCACAGTGATTAACGATGCGCGGGTTAAACGGATTCCACAACAGCCGGTCATAGGATGGGTGACCGAACATTTATCCTATACATAGTTTACTGGTTGACTAGTAGAGGATACCTAAATTGCATTAAGACCACCATTTATAGTTTTGCGTGCAATAGTCAAGCCATCAATCCAGGCTCCATGTAGACTGTTCACACCTACTAAATCGCCATAGACATATTGAATTAGGCCCGTTCATCCTTTCGTTCCATACAAAGCGGAAAACCCATGTCTGAGCCGCTGGGATATTAAAAGGCAGATTCTGAACAGTTCTTGATATACAGCCGTTAACCGCGTCGTGACTGACATAAATGATACAGGGAGCAGAGAAACATTTGTTTTTAAGCTAACTCAGAAAACTTCGTTATTCATTTTTTTTTTTTTACTAATATACATAATACTCCACTCACGTCTGTACTTTTCCTTCCGAGCAGTAGATACGTGGCGAAAACATCATCGTATTTCGCCTCCGCCAAAGAGTATTCTATCTCTTGCCTGTTGTAACCCAGGCACACCAGCGCCTCTGCAAATGTGAACAGATAAATTACATAAGTAATCATTCTATAAACTAGTCTCAAGGGGAATGCATAATTGTATCATTTGTTTTATTAATTCCTAAACAGTTCTACTTCCAAACACTTAAATAATAGATAAACTTCAGCTTTCAGTTTTCATCAGTAGGCACATAAATAATGTATATATAAAATACATTAGTATTCACTGGCTCACCTATTGCGATGACTGTTAAAAGTATCGCTTTAGTTGGATATAATTGGCAAAAAATATCCTAGAGATTATCCTTAATTATTTTAAAATTTACTCGTCTAAAAATACGATCACGGTATTTAAAATTACAAAGACAACATTGAACAAATAACACGCAACAAAATAACATTAAAACAATAAAAAGCCAAAAATAATATCTATAATAGCTATCTATGGACTGCTATTTTCACTACTTAAGGTAGGTTGTAGTTGTGTGGATATACCTATATACCGGGACCTATATGTTTAGATGTTTAAATTTAATGTAATCAAAAATATATTTTGTGAATTTTCATTATATTAACTCCAGCTCCGAGAATTTTAAACATGAGAATTATAACTTTTAAAACTCGAAATCCAAATTCATATTACATATTAATATGAACGATTAATGGTAGGGAATCGAATAAATCAACATTCTTAGGTTACTTTAACACTTGGATTTAGGAAATAAAAAAAATATATATATTGCTTTTATCGCATATAAATTTAGTAAATAATATTTTGTAACTATGGGTATTGCATTGATCAAATATATTTATTTTAACTTTTTCGACTTTGATTTTATGCTTTTTAATGCTACACAAAAATATAAGAAAATAATAATTTTAATGCAAGTGTTTACTTTGAGTTCATGCGTGGTATAGTGCATTTTATCTTAAGTTACACAACATACACATATACAGGTTCAAAATGGACATACTTAAAACAAATAATACATAGTAATTATCTTTATAAGAGGTATTAAAGGTGAGTATAGACGTTAAATCATCGAATAACAGTAATATAATACGACCGATATTAAATTATAACTAGTACTTATACAAAACAATATTGAACTAATTAAATAAAGAAGCCATGCCGGGACTAGTATAGTTTAACTGACTAATTACAATTATTTAATTTCACTTCGGTTTGCCTGCAGTGACCTTTATTGTATATAATTTGATAATCATGCATGATATAAATAAACCTTGACATATAAATAAATATATAAGTTTTTATACTTCAACAAGACATAAGTATATTATATATAAAATATTCTACCACATATACATAACATGAATATGACGCGTCACGTACCGACTTGCGCTGTGCCGATATCAAGGGAGCGATGGACGCATGTAAGGTAAAGAAATATTATACAATTTTTTATATTAAAAAAGTTTTTACTATCATACATACAATACAATAATGGGTGTCAAGTTTGCAGTGTGATAATAAGCTTATTAGCTTGTGATTGTGTAACTTAAAATTCTAAGATCAGTGATCGGAACAGGTAATTGATTTTTGCTACTTGTATAGGCTCATAGAAAGAATAACATGGATAAGACAATTGAAATCGAGGTATCAAAACTTTATTTAAATATATGTAAGTACCCTACTGCTCTGTTCAATACATTTACAATTAGTTCCTATTTTATGCTTTGAAATCAAAACATTTTTTGTGGCTTTCATAATTATCAAGTAATTCCGGAGAAATTTCCATATTAACATAATATATACATTTTAGATCAATAACCCCAATTTTGTCTACCTATTTCGATCACTGATTATGATATTAAACTTCGTTCTCTATAGAGTATAAGTTTTTTAAATGTTTACTGGATTGAGTATTATGTTTGTGAACTAAACATTTGGGAGGACAATAATCTATCCTTTCTTATGTGAATCTCTTTCTACGTAAATAAAAAAATGACAATTGCTTTCAAGTTAGAATCTTATCGAAGGTGTTATCAAATTGTTGGCATCATTTCAAAAAAGGGTCCCCTTTATTTTTTACTTGAATCTAGATGTCTGGTAATAATTAAAGAGATTGATTTGTCTTCAAAGTTTCAAGGAAATTTATAACAATAAGGAGTTGATATTTAAATTGGATTCAATATGAATATTTTACATCAAAATTAAGCTAAAACTAATGTGTATCCATACGATTATTTTTATGTTATCATTAAAAAAATAATATTGTACGACAAAATAACGGCATGTTGCGTAATATTTAAATTTTTTTCATTAATTATGATGTATATTTTTTACTTAAACGGCTTATTAATTTTATCTATACAATACCGTCTAGGTATTCGATAAAGCAACTAAACATTCAATACATAAGTTTTAATAATCATTTTATGTAGTTACTTATACATTTAAAAGGACAACATTTTTAATACTCATACCATCTTAACTTGGATATTATAAACAAGATTTAATTAAAAAACTCTAATTAAAGGCAAAAAAGTGAATAAATACGAATTTTCGGAAGTAAAAAATCTGCATAAGCCAGCTTTCGGCGCCAATTTTGATAAACCACTTCCTAAGCTAAACTAAAAAATATATAATATAGTTTCACTGTGACGTTACACTGCTTCTGATCGACGCATCAATGAGATTAACTAAGTTAACCGCACAATATACTCAATATTGTTTTATATGATTATTTGATATGTATTTTTGTGTTAGTTGAAGCTAAAACACGAGATTTAAAAAAACTTTGATGTCGTTTTTATATAATGTTTTTAACAAGTGAATAACATGTTTTGATTTTATCAAAACACTCGTGCAAATGCTGAGAACGGATTGCTTTTGAATATTTTGATGTGAGTTTATTAAAGCAGATCTGTGATCCGGTTATGTGAGCATTCATGCGTCTTTGTGTCCATTTTGTGTTTCCTAAACGTACCACCTTGTCCATATGTATCGGCATAATGTCTACATACATATCGCATAGTAACAGATAACTTAATTCATAAGAGAATTAATTCAAAAATCGACAACTAGGTTCTGATTCCTGAAATTTTGACAGGAGTCACTTTCATTTTAGCAATTATACAGGGTGTAACATTATAAACGGTCAGTGTAGGAAAGTCCTTAGGTCTTAGAAAACATGTTATCGATTTTAGTGGAAAAAAAAAAGATCATAAAAATAGCTAGTTCCTATCGAACAAGTATTTTGTTAATTTTAGACAACATGTGTCATAACTCATAAGTAACTGTTTAACACAGAATATGTCATACAATTACTAAATTTAAATAGAGAATACTTTTATATTTAGCTATTAACAATTCTTAGTGCATTCAAATTCTCGTACTCTGGTTAAAAATATCTGCTTGATCCCCGATAACAATTTTTTTAAATGTATGAATGCAGTTTTTCACTAAAATCGACGACACGATTCCGATCAAGATCAGATTTCGTACGTCTTATAGTTTCTTAGACCTTAATATTGATCGTCCTTAATGTAACATCCTGTATAATGTGTAACATGTCAAGTCGTGTATGGTGCTCACCTATCCGCTTGTGGTCCTTGTAGTCCTGCTGAGGTTCTATATACGGCCTGAGTTCATCGTCCTCGTATCCGGTGTTCATCCATTTGTCCCTCATGATGCTCTCCAACGAGGCACGCTTGGCTGGATTCAGTACCAGGAATTTCTTCAGGAGGTTCTCGCAATCGGTCGACATATAGAACGGTATTCTGAAATTGAATTATTAGTCCTATATGAAGATTGACCACTAATACCGTAACTATAATAGGATCGTATCAGATAAAAACCTTTTAATAATGTACTGATGGCTAATAAGGCCCACCGTTTTTGACCTCTTTGGTACCTTAATAAACATTCAACTATACTGAAAAACGCCGTATTTTACTGAATTGAATTGTTATTTGAATACAAATATTTCACCTCCCTCTAACAAAAAATGAGTATTCATAAAAATATAAGTACTATGTCTTGGATCAATTATATCGGCCAAAAATTGTAATCAGCCACAGAAAATTCGAGAAATAAAAAAAAATATCTACACGTTCAATCGTTTAATAAAACCGTTTAACTCAGGGCAAAAAAGAATAACATGGTGCGAGTTAACATTGATCACCTGTATTTCCCTCTCAAGACACGTTCTCGTAACTCCCGTAACGTGGTGCCGTCGAAGGGAAGCGAACCAGAGACTAGCGTGTACAGGATGACGCCGAGCGACCACACGTCCACTTCGGGACCGTCGTATTTTTTACCTGAAACAACCGATGCACGCACCATTTTATAATATACATTACAGCAAGTTCCACCGCGGGCTGCGACGCTTATCCAATAATACACCGAGTATTAGGAATTATAAACTCAACAAATATGCATTTACTAAATCAAGTTATTTTTAAGAATGTATGTTATTAATCATACGAATTTCCTATAACCTTGTTTTAAAACAAAAGTGTTCTACACTAATTTACAATAGTTACAGCTCGTCATAGTTTTTTTATTTAAATTAGAATGTATAAGGATTACTCACACATACCGTCGCGCGCAAAGATGAGTTGAATCTAATACAACAGTGTTCAGCGGGGAATTCATTAGACGGGCAAATCTGCAGACATGCCTGCCAGGCCTCGTTTAATGTAGTTAGAGCATGTCTGGTTAGCGTAGGACCGTCGCATTTATTACACAGAGGAAGCAGGAATGCTTGCAAACTTGCCCGAGGGCATACCCATCTAATGAATTCCCCGCCTTAATCTTTATTTACGTAGCGTGTGTTAATCTTTTATTCTCGATTTGAGAACGTTACCTTGGAACAGTTCCGGCGCGGCGTAGGGCGGGCTGCCGCAGAATGTGTCCAGTTTGGCTCCGGGCGTGAACTCGTTCGAGAAACCAAAGTCCGCGATCTTTATGTTCATCTCGCCGTCCAGAAGTAAGTTCTCCGCCTTAGTACAATAACAAAAAAATTAACACCTATTCTACTTTGTTTCACTCAAAAACTACTGAACGGATTTTGATGAGATTTCATATACTGATAATTGAACATATAGACTGCTGTTTATTCCATCGTTCCCTAGTCCCCCGTGCGGTCCACGGGCGAAGCCGCTGGAGGAAAGCTAGTTGGTATTTATATAGTAAATATTACGAGCACAGACGAATAAGATATTATTGGCTTTAGCTTTTGTATGTAGTTAGCAAACTATTTCAAACATTCTGTGGTCTGAATGATTCCCTTCGTTCTTAAACAGCAATGATGTAGGAAATATTAGATTCCCACAAACTGGTAGGCTACCTATTAGTTTACAATTTGGTCACTAGTCTGTAAATGACATTTGATGTAGATGTCGCAGCCAAATGGTGTAATCAGCCAACCAATTGGGCGGCTAGCCCTTCAATTATTGGCGCCATTCAATTAAAGGGCTAGCCGCCCAATTGGTTTGGTGATTATACCATTTGGCTGCGACATGTATAAAACATAGTTTGTGTAGCAATATGACAACAAAAGTTGCAGTTATAAATCCTATAATATTAAACTCTTTCCGTAAGATACTTAATAGTAAAGGGGGACAGCAGCGTTTGACCAATCCAATTACATGTTTAATACAGGGGCCCGTTAATCATGTTTACGAATTAACTGGATAGACCAATTAATCAACGTTGTGTTAATCCTTTCATAAGATTATTCTTAATCCTCCAAGGATTAACCGCAAAAATACAGCTAATTACTCTAAATAAAAGATATAGAGTACACGTCGGAAATATGTTTTCTGACATTATTATATTTTTAAGAAAAGTGTTTATGTTTAGTGTTTATATTAAGTAAAAAAACAGGACTTTTGTAAAAAAAAAAAACGATTTACAGGTGGCTTATTAATCATAATTATAATGGTTAATCTTTTGCATGGGTCACCTAATCCAAATAAATTAAGTCGCTTAAAACATCGCATACTCGGCAGGCTCCGTGATAACTACATTCTTGTTGACATCTCAATAGTTTTATTAAATAACTAGCTTTCCGTCAACGGCTTCGCCCGCGTAGTCCCACGAGGATTGTTTAACGAGATAAAAAGTAGTCTACATGTTAAAAGACGCTTACAACTATACGTATTCCAATTTCATCAAAATCCGTTCAATATTTTTTTGAGTGAAGTAGTAAAAAACATCCAAACTTGGAAACGTATTTATAATATTATAAGATTACATCCAAATCTCAGCTTATTATTACTACATTCCATTACAATGTGTTTTTAATAAAATTATAAAAAAGTTTGTTTGAAATATGTATACAACGTGTCCCAAAATTCAACGATAAGCGGGCGCCAAGAGGTACCCTTGCTCATGTGTACTTATGGAAAAATAAGAAAAAAATTATATCTTATCTTTTTTATTATAAAATTAAATTCGAAAATCTTCGAAAATTTACACCTTTTATGATACTCTTTCGAAAATTTTCGAATTTTATTTTATAATAAAAAAGATTAATAAGATATAATTTTTTTCTTATTTTTCCATAAGTACACATGAGCAGGTCTACCTCTTGGCGCCCGCTTATCGTTGAATTTTGGGACACGTTGTGTATATTTATTTATATTGAAATATAAAATGAAAACTGTAACAGTAGCTGTTTTCTCGCTGCTCCTCCAGGATCAATTAACCTACGTCACTCACATAAGATGTAAGTTCAAGTAGGTGAAAGAGTTTTTATAAAAGATGCGGTAGTATCGAAATCAATTCAATGGAAAGAAACAAACAAATATTTCCACTTTATAATATATATAAGTGTACATCAGTTTATCATGTAACGTTATTGTGTCACCTTGAGATCTCTGTGTATAATCCGTTTCTGATGGCAGTACTGCACCGCGGATACTATTTGCCTAAACTTCGCCCGCGCCTCCTTCTCCTTCATGCGTCCGTGTAATACTAAATAGTCGAACACCTGTACACAGAAACAATGCATAGCATAAAAAATAGAGCCTCATGTATTATTGGATGATTAATTTATGTAGGTATTGGGAATGTGATATAAAATATCAGAGCTAATCTTGATGTAGAGTTCATATAATAGCGATGATGACTGGGTAAAAAAATGCAATTCTATTTAGTCCGTCAGTCAGATAATAGAAAAATATTAGATACTTATTCTTTTTACTTCAATTTAACAGGAAATAGCTTAGATAACAGACATTAAAGTTGAGGAGTGGGGGCTCGCTACGTCACATTTGAGTAGAAAACGTACTCTAACGTGACGTCATGCGAAAATTCAACTCCATGTAACGCCGTAATTTTATAATTACGAAAAGAATAAAAATATACGTGTTTAATATTTTTTAACACTCTACCTGACGGACAAACAAACAAAAATTAGTCATCATCCCTATTTAAAAATGAAAATATCAGTTTTGATTATAATGTTAAGATACTTTATGTCTAGATTTAAAAAAAAGTGTATACTCTTTGAATACTTTATTAATTCAAACAAATAAAAGAGTATGTTATACTGAAAAATATTGCCTGAACATTGATGAAAATAAACTCAGTAGTAACGCAAAAGTAACAAGCGGTTGAAAAATTCTACAGTCCTGTTAGGTCCTGGGTAGCTCAGTGGTTAGAGCAGTCGTCCGGAATGCGAGAGGTCATGGGTTCAAGTCCCATCTCAGAGTGCCAGGAACAAAGTGGAATGATTAAGCATTTTTCATTAAAAATAGAAGATTTATAAATCGATAACATAATGCAAACATAACGCTATGATACAGACATTTTCATTAATAAAATAAATAAAATCATCATATATCGTAAAACACTATCAGTTAAAACAAATGAAAATGTGACCCTTTCACATAATTATTTATCTTTAGATGTCATCATATTTAAATCACTAGGTTCGATTTCCAATCTGCTAATCAGAAATCTGTCTACTTTTCAGTTTGAAATAAACCATTGCCTACCTCTCCACCTGAAGCATACTCCATGACGAGATATAATGTCTTTTCTGTTTCTATAACTTGGAACAGCTTCACTATGTTTGGGTGATCGAGCATCTTCATTATCCGCACCTGGAATATTAAAAAATATCTCTTATTAAGTAAGCTTATTACAAAGTGTTTGTTTATGAAGAAGAATGCTTTGACTTTAAAATGGTTTCATTCGTTAGTCAGGTGATTTCTATATAAATTATATTGTATTTACATTATTTTACATTGTAACATAGTCTCTTTTCGTAATTGTTGTTACTGTTACTAATTGTTGTTAAGTTGTTCCAGCCGTTTTTCAAGTGTTTTTATAAACATATTATTGCATTTTCATAGATGTTGTAAGAAAATGTATTTTGTAAAAGTCGTAACTGCTATTAATTGTTGTTAAATTTTGTCTTCGTCAGGTGATTACTACATTTCTCGTAAATTATTGTATTTACATTGACATTGTAACAACATACTTTTGTAAATTTTGTTACTTCTTATTTAATGTGGTTAAATTTCATACGCATTTCTTTACCTAGAACTAGATAAACTAAAGCTTCAAATTTGAAAAATATAAAGAAAATATTCACTTTGACCGTGGTTTTAAGTTCTTGGCAGCATTTTATCATGTACTAAAAAAGTCAGGATTTTACAGTTTTAAATCGTCCAATACTCATTTAAAACTATTCGTTTCGATTTTAAATAGTTAGACAGCGACTGAAATGCATTATTTTTCTTTGTTATACTATGTTGAAATATCTATGCGCAGATACCTCTCTGAACAGTTTCTGCAGGGAGCCGGGATTGAGTTGTGTCTTGTCGATTATCTTGATGGCCACCTCTTTGCCTGTGGGCACGTGCTTCGCCAGTTTCACCTTCGCGAAGTTGCCTTTGCCGATCGTCTTCAGTAACTTGTACTTTCCTGGAATCACGATAAAATTGAAATTAACAACATGTCGCAACAAATAATGGGTTACCTTTAAGTAAGCGATTCTAACATGCTGTTAAATATATAGGGTCAATACATAAGACTGAATCAAATGAACTACATTGAATGTTGTGTGCATTTCGATTAAATCCACTCTCGTATGCGTCATGATATGCATGCTGGTCTCGAAACCGTGACATCACAGATAGCTACACCTAATCTCATGTCAGATAGACACCTTCAAAACGAAGGAAAGATAAAGCCGGGCCGCAGGAGGTCCATGCTTAGCAACTTTTGTCAATGGTTCCACAGCAGCACGATACTGTCCCGAGAAGCGGTTTGTGGTGAGTGCTAGTGGCGCCAATCTTCGTAAGAAAACGGCACTAAAAGAAGAAGACTAATATCAGACCGATGCTATTAGTAACTCACCGATATGTGGTTCCTCGGAGGCGCGCGAGCGGGAGACGCGCGTGCCACCGCCCTCCGCGGAACCGCCACCTCCCCCGCCCATCTTCGTCGACGACGACTTCACCTGCGAATAACTCTGCAATTAGGACGCAATCTGTTAGAAAATGGCAACATGGCACACAAACTCATTCAATAATGATAACAACATACACATTACCAGATTGATCTATAAAATGTACACGGATTCCATACCACAAAATGACTCAAACGCCAGACCAAATAAATTGCAAACAAATGGTAGTCTTCTGATTTTTCTCTCTATCTCTTTGGTGCGCTAATTACATTTCAACTGCATTGGTCTGGTTTTTGACGATGTATCATCTAAGTTTCTTTTCTTTTTTCAAAGATATAACCGGCTAGAGAACTTAATTAATAATACTTATGCTCAAAATATCAATGAGCTTTATCAAACTTGAAACGGAAATAAAAATAGCACCTACACCAAGTCATTCTGCAGCTTAAGTGACATCGTCAGTTTCATCAACTCAATAAATTCAGTCACACAGAAGCCTTTCTTAGCTCAACTTTTATAACAAAGATGACAATTACTTCATATCAATAACAAATTATGATTTCAGACGTAAATCAAGTTTATACCAGTAATTATAAATCACAGAACTATGTCACGCACGCAACTACGATAACCAACGTAAACATGTTATGAAAAACGTTACTTTAGCTCATATAAAAATATAACATTTACGGGAAATCATTTGACGTCACACAATAGTAAAAAAAATAGATTAAACTTGTCAATAATGTTGATTTATTGTTACAGCCTAAAACATAACTAATATAGCTCACTGATGTACCCGCGCAGAAGTGTTGTAAAGCAGAGTTTCCCAACCTTTTTGAGTTGAGTTTCTCAAGAGGTAAGACAACATTTTCATGCCCCAATTCATAAAAACGTGGTGCTTTTGTAATGAGTTGAGTACTGACAGTAAAACAAATATACATTAATTGTAATGGATGATCCATTCCATTAATGACGTCGGGTTTTGAAACAGTGGTCGACAGAAGAAGTGAATGGTGATTTAGTACTAAATAACTTAACATTATGTGTAATTTATTTTCCACCTGGATTTCTTCTTTTTAAAATGCCGACTCTTTCCGGTCTATTGATATCTCTCAACCCCCTTGGGACGCGTGATTCTTTCCGTTGGTGAAACCTTATGATTACCAGTTCAATGCTTTTTGCTGCTGGACATCCTGGTAGCTAAACTTTATTGTACGAGTATAATACTTATTGTTACTTGTAGCTTCGCTTACATCATCAAAGTGTCTTTATTACTGTTAAAATATGTCCTATGTCTCGCTTCAGCTCAACTATTAAAAAAACATACCTTAACAACGTTACGTTGCTACGTTAAAGAATACCAAACAAACGAACTAAGCCATTTATCAATGAATTTTCATCATTCCAAACCTATTAAACCAGATGGCCTTTAATAAATCTATTGTCATTTTATCGTTAACCATTACTTTAAAAATATATAGTATAGGGAATAGTATAGGCCCTATACCACTTCCTGGCATAAATTTTTGTAAACCCATAAAAAAATAACAATGGTGTACCCACATAGCAGCAAAAAAATCAATCCGTGAACGAACAATGAGTTTAACTGGAGATTAATTTGCAATCGAGTGTCATTGACACGACGACAGTCAATACATTCAGCACGAAAAATCATTGACTGCGAATCGTATCAGTATTAGTATGGAAATACAAATTCCCTTTACGAATCTGTATAACGGCCCAAAACAAAAATTCCCATTGATAATAATTTTCGTGCTAAGCACACAGGTAATTCGGCTGAGCATCTAAACCTTAATCCTATCTGAAAAAGCAGGCAACATCATCATCCCGAGGGCCTCGTAATCCGAATTATACGTACAACGTACCGAATCCGTTTTACATATAAAAGCCATTTAGCCTAGTACCAAGAAAAGCTTCCAGCAGCGACCGCCTAACTAAAAATAGTACATAGGTAACTACATATTCATAAAGCACTTGGCTGCTAGGGGACATAGCTGTTTTATATAGCCTAATATATCAAACACAAGACTCGAGTCATAAAATGCAAAAAAAAGCTCCTCAAATCCGTCAGGTAAGTAGTTGCAAAGCATTTGCGCGTACAAAAATGTAACTATATTATATATCGACGGCGAAGTGCCAATACCTTCTAACTAACACAGACAAAATTTTACACAAAGTGAAAAAAATGTTTAATTTCTTGAAAACGTTAAAATCAAGAAATCAATTTATATGGAGCACATATCAATATGACAGGCTTAGGTTTCAATAAAATATTAATTTGATTAATAATCGTTTAGTAGGTATTTGGTTAGATAGAAGGTATTGGTTTAACATCCTCAGTGATTTCATTAAATAAATTGTACGATAGAAGGTATTGATTTTAATTAAAACAATAATTACTTTGAAAAATTGCTTTTACGATTGATATTGTTGTATTGTTTCGAGTTGCGGATTATCTTGGGTTTATGCAGCCCAGTATCACTGTGACCATTGCTGATCTATTGTGATCTCCACATACTACAGTTCACGGTCAAGATTACATTCTACAAGGAACTGTAGTATTTTCTTGGCCGTAAGTTCTTTAATATCGTCTGGGTGCATCACGTGCTTTCCCAGATAGATACATCGTTTTCGCATTAGTGACGGGCAATCGGTCAAAATGTGCAAAGGTGTTTCTTCTTCCTCCTTGCATCCTCTGCACATTCTACTGCCGCTGATCCCCATATTGTACATGTGTCTGTTCAGTCCACAATGCCCTGTGAGTGCTCGTACTAGTGTGCGAAGGTGATTTTTGGTTAAGTTTAAGGCCTCTGATGCCGCCTTTTTGTTGAAGGTTTTAATCAGGGTCTTAGAGTGTTTCATACCGGGAGTGTTTCTCCATAGTTGAATAGCTGCATAGTGGCAGTATGTTTTCAAGGTGAGCTGGGTTAGGCTTTGAGGGATGCCACAGAAAGGTTCTGGTCCGATAAGGGCGTCTTTAGCACCCTTCTTCGCCAGTTTGTCCGCCTGTTTATTGCCCTCGTATCCAGCGTGACCTGGAACCCATCGTAGAACTACTTTGTTGTTGTTGCCCAAAGAGTTCAATGTCTGTTTGCAGTTCTCTACCAGCTTCGATCTAGTTATGTCGGAAGCTAGTGCTAAGAGTGCAGCTTGACTATCAGAGTGGATGTAGATAGTATGATTGAGGTAGTTATTTTGCAGATTGGCTGCCGCACATTCCAAAATGGCGTACACCTCTGCCTGGAATATTGAGGAGTACTTTCCCATGTTCAGACTTATAGCCTTCCTTGGGGCTTCTCCATGAATTCCACATCCTACCTCAGGACCGGATTTGGAGCCGTCAGTGTACCACTTTAGGCTTCCATTTTTCCATACTATACGATTGTTTGACCAGTCGTCCCTGGTAGGTATCTCCACAAGATATGACCTGTGTGATTCTCGGGGGCATGGTGTCAGTAGGCATCCCCAGGATTGGTATATTGCATATTGAGTCCTTCAGGTACCTCAAATTACCTGACAGCTATGTCTTCGCCTCCATGCTGGTAATCCTGTACATACTAGCCATGTACATACGATTGATATTACACCCTCGCAAGTGACGTGACGCAACCCTACAGCTAATTTCACCCATATCACGAGCCGCGGCGCGGCAGCCGCTGTGAAAAGTTAATCGGCAATGTTCCGCGTTGAGATGTAGTAGTCTTGTACGTAGATAGGAGAAATTGCCATAAATTATATACGCTAATTTAGTTAGAAGCTATTTCCACATTCATTTTTCTCCAGTTGTCGTAAAAAATACGGATAGGTGATTTCATGAACCCATGTGGAAAACGACCTTAACGTCAATGAAATAAAAAAGTCATTTTCTCGAAAAATGTTAGATAGGAGGTATTGGCACTTCGCCGTCGATATCCAAAATTAATACTTGTAGTATTCTAAAGCACCAAAAATTTCGAAATATACTCGTATATTACGCACCAAAGTTTGAAAGCGATTGAAGAAAATGTACATGTTTCTAACATGATATTCTACTGTACAGAGTAAATCGTTAAAAGCATTAATTTGGGAAAAATCAGTAGTATACACTGACAAATAAGCTGTGATTTAGCTATGTCTGTGTCTGCACAGTAGTAAAACCTTTATTAATTGACATAATTTTCATTATGTGTTTCTTTCAGTTATCGTAATCATCGATTACTTTCAATCGATTTTATATGATCGACTAAAAAAATAAGCAAAAGTGTTTTATCATTCAACAACACAGCTGTGTTGTTCGTGAGTCGTTCATTTACTGTACTTCGTATTATAGCAGGTAGATGTCCAACTACATGGTAGCCCAAAATAGAAACACGATATCGTACGCTATTTACGGCTTTATCGAACCCTAGCATCTACGAGCAAAACTTAGGTGAATTACGTTCAAAACACGTCCTAAAGAAATATTACCCATAACTGATAAGCTAACATCGGAAGCAGAATTTAATTAAGAGTATGATTTAGGAATAACTAAGATTAATAACGAACCTTTTGCCGTTGAAGAAACTGATTTAATCAAGAACACAGTATTTCGGGGTGGAAATAAAAGCTCAAGGTTGGTGTTATGCAAAGTACAATAACAGTTACCAAAAATTAGATTTATAATCGAAGCTAACAAGGCCATGGCAGTAGATAAAATCGAAGAAATTCAAATGTATTAAATAGAAAAAGAAAGAATTTATTATACGTACAATATTTATATGTACGAGTATTTGTTAGCGTAATATAAATCAATTTGCCATAGTAAGACAAAAAGGAGAGTGGGTGAACGACTCCCAACGAGCCCAAGCACACATTTATAATTCATATTGAATCCAGCCATAAAATGTGAAGATGTGCGGACAATAGAGTCGTTGAAATCCCGGCGAATCAAACAAGGGCAAATAAAAACATAGAGAGAGCAATAAACATACTGTCTGGATGTCAAGAAATAGTTTAACGAAGTTACACTTCTCATTGGGAAAAGTCTGTAACAAGACAATCCAGTTGCG